ATACATACATACATACATACATACATACATACATACATATGTTAATTGACCCCTCCCCATGGGGGCTTTTCAGGGCCAACTCCCACCCAACAACCACCCCAGGGGAGGACATCAATCACACAGTAATCTCGTGCGTGGAAAATTAACGTCTCCTACCCCTAACCCTGCAGGAGACGGGACCTTCATTTATTCGTCCCTATCCGAGAAGACTAGAGTATCTAGCCATTTCTTGATGTTATAGAAAGGTAGCATATTCTTCTCACTTGTTTTAAGACCTTGAGTGTCGGTCCGGCCGGGGCTCGAACCCTTGACCTCCCGCACAACAGTCCAGCGCTCTATCCATTGAGCTAACCGAGAGGCGGTTGCACCTGTACCCTTTAGAGAGAATTTTTCCGTTATATGTATAGGTAACCGTATGGGGCGGAGTTCAATTAAGGATTGATATCATGCGTGTTTTCAGAAGTTGCAGAAGCATGACGAGGGCAAATTCTACAACTTCTGAAAAAAAAAAGTGATACAAATCAATAATTTTACGAGGGAACAAGCAATTACCTTCTATTATACAGAGAGCAAAATTTCCTTTCATTAAAAAGGTCGATTTAACGACCCCAGCGGCTCAAGAACTGATCAATTTCAAGTAATTTTGTCCGGGGTAAGTACTAAAATGAATGAAGAATGGCTTCTGTCACATCCAATCAGCATTTAGATAATTTTGTCCTCCATCTAATGTTACGAAATATTTAAACTTCTACATTAAGAAAAGTAATGAAGCAATTGGCCCGTGCATCAGCTGTGTATGCTGCAAGAATCTAACGACATATATGCTTTCCACTATCTCCACCATTATGCATCAACTCAAGACTCAAGAAGCTGTAGTTTCCCTCGGTTTTTCCCTGTGCAACTCTTCCGTTCTCACCAAACTTCCTACTTGCTTTATTAATTTCCAACAACCCTTTTTTGTTGTTGTTGTTGTTTTCCAGGAACCATGAACCTTGTAGTCGCCTCAATAATACTTGGCGTGGCAGTAAAGGCATATCGAAATTTTGGAAGGGGTTTGGCGCAGCATTGTAAGTGCTTAAATTTTTTCAGAAGTTGATTTGTGACGAATGATAGCACAAATTGAATTTTTCCTCCCTCTTTCTACCACGCTTTTTTCTCTTCCTCGTACCTCATCTAACCCACTCTTCTTAGTCCTTCACTCTGTGATCTCAAATATGATCTCACCATTTTTCAACCAACAGTCCGCCAGAAGAGGAAACCCCAATTAAGGTACTCAGATCGGTTAAGCCTGGGACGAGCGAGTCACTGTTACCCGGAGGAGAGCGTGATTTCTGTGACGTCATACGACAGCGCAATTGATGAGTTCGCTGAGAGCGTCCGATTGAACAGAGGCACGTTACGCGCTGCTCAGACAGCTGTACCATTGTTGGCCGGTAACGGTCAACTTCGGGTGGACAAGCGCAGTTGTAGTCTTCCAAATTTGTTGTCGGATTCAACGCCGCGGAGGCCTACCTCTTTTCCAGGCCCTTCCAAGGGGGATATGAATTTGTTGAGTGGCAATCTGCAATCAGAGCATGGGGAAGGAGAAGAAGAAAAAGAGAAACTATATGCTGCAAACCTGGAAAGCATTTCTGAAGAGAAAACAGCTGGGAACTTGGACTCTTATGATTACGGACCAAAGCAGGGATCTCTTCAAGACAGTGAAGCTGATGAGGAAGGCTCCAGTTTTATTCAGTTATCAAGAAATGGCGATGTTACATCTTCGGACCTTCACACTAACGGTCGTGTGAGTAACGCGGATAGCGCTCGCGTTCCTAGAGGCGTGGCGAAATTGCCCGAACACAGACAGAACGGCCTTACTCGAAAAACTTCTATAGAACCAACGGATGAAAATATTGCCAACGGATGCGGCTTACAGTCTGCAAATAACCACGAAGACACTATTGCAGACGATGTTGTTCAAGATTCGTCGATAGAATTTAGGACGGAAAATTCATTACATTTAAATGCGCAGATTTATCAGAGAATTTCAGGCCTTCCTGAAGGGGTTGTTTAACAGTGAGTCTCGAAGAGATATCGTAGCAGTCATGTCATGATATTTTCAGCTATTCTATAGATACCTTTATATTCTAAGACGAGTAAGACTGCGAGTTCGAGCCTGCGTTATTTTGGCTGGGAAAAGTTACGTCCGTACTTCCCTCAGTTATTGGTCCAGAAAACTCGCGCCATTTTCTCAACCAATCAGATGCAAAATTAATACCAATCACGAAGTGGTCGCTCGCGCTTCAGTCAGTTGGCTCGTCCTCATTGGCTCTTAAGGTTATTTTTCTTCTCTTCTGATTGGGCGTTGTGAATACTTTGGTTTTGGTTTTACAACACTCAATCGAAAAACGCTCCCTTTAGGACGGGGCTCAACTACGTCCCAGAACAATAGCCGTGCAAACTTTGTTTTACACAAGAGCTCGATAAAGCTTCATGAAAAATGCACTTACTTTTTGAAGTATTGTCTCCTACTCGAAATCGAACTCGTCTAAGAAAGTCTCTGTTTTTTTCTCACGTGCAGAACTACCTTCGACTCGAAGGAGTTTCCAAGTTTTTTTCCCGTTAGTTGGTGAAATGCACAAAAGACCATGATAAACCAACAGGGAACAATGGTGGCTTTGAATTGAGAAGATTGACGCCGATTGTAAATGTAAAAATTAACAAAAAAAAATTGGGTCTATTTAAACGAATGAAGGTCCTTTTTAACACAAACAGATTTTTTTTTTAAATTCACATCACCGTACCTGGTTTATTAGTGTGGAATAATCAAGGAACTAGCTGCATATGGCTGCCTTTTGGAAAATGGTGTTTGTAACTTCTTATTTAAGAATACTTTGAAGATGTAATTTTTACAATAATTATTTTCTTGTAAATAATCCCGACGTTTTTCTTGCAAAAGCATCCTTTCATCTTTTTATTTTGTCGAGATCGTAAATACTTGCACTGACTCATTTCATTTGGAGGTGTAAACCAGAAAATTTGTTATCTTTTTATTTCGATGCAGTTGTATAGATAATTAGTTTTTTTTAGGGTTTCTTTTGTGAGGATCTTCCTTCCGTTCTGTGTGGTTTCCGTTCCGTTCTGTGTGGAAATTTTCAACTTGCTATTAAAGCTATTTTTTTCTATTTTTATTTATTAAAACCGAAATAAACTCAAAAGAGGATCAGTCTTGTTTTTGCCGGGTTCTAATGTTGTCGTTCCCAGGACAGAAAGAGGAGTGACCTCATGACGAGGCTAGAGACAGTCGTACGAAAACGAGGTACCCCAGGGGAAGTAAGGAGGGGGTTGCTTCTATTCAGTACCTGAAGGTTACAACTGCACTCATCTCTAATTAAGTGCTAAGTCACGAAAACGCTGTACCTTCAGAGGAAACCAGTGTGAAGCAATATTCTCTGCAAGGACGAAACGTGTTCTCGATTGCTTAAATCTCAAATCACGTCTTTTCTGTTTAATTATTGCATGACTCAAAGGTCTGTGTTGTTGCTTGTTCCAGCTTTTGCCTTTATGCCTTATACAAGTTCAAGTCTGAGCTCAAGTACTAACCACTTTTCCTTCGGCTCTTCAGTGGTGGAGTCGAGAAAAGGCGGGAGTAAAGTCTAATAAGTGCGACAGTCTTGCTTTGCAAGCAACACAGAAAGAGTGACTACAGAAACCGCAGTGTTTGAGGACAATAGGCACAAAATTGTTGCTGATTTGATTGCTAGTTTTATCTTTTTTTTTTCTTTTTTTCATAACTCCTCTCTTTCCCCAACGGTAAGTTTCAGCATTTTCGTGACAGTCTGATAATGCACAGGCCCCTGACAAATTACATCTCGCGCCAATACGAATCAATATTTCCATCGACTGTTATAACGATGCGAAGCTGTTTCCTGTTTGAACAATATCTGACACGTGCCTTCCATTAAATCTGTACTCTTTATCTTAAAGATATGATCTATCGCGCGCTCTGTATTGATGAGCCCGATTTGAAACCGTTAGAACCTATATAATATCAATTACTCTCATTTTGAGTGCTGAATCATTAAGCATGTAAACTTATTTCAAAGTTGTTTTTTCTTTTTTTTTTTTAACCAGTATGCGGGCGTATAATACGCAGGCGTATAATCGCAGAAACCACATTCTTGTTCCCAGATACTTCGACTTTTTTATCACGAAAGGGACCACATCAGATTGCGAAAAAAATCCTTACCCCTTTGTAACGACGTCACTATGTTATTCATAGCTTCTGCGTGCTTGCGCACTGCAATGAGATCTAATATATCGCGGATGTATGCACACTGGTTCTGTTCTGTATTCTTTGCAATGGCCAACTTAACTAATGCGGGTTAGATCAAATTAGTCGTCGTGCTGTCTAGTTGTGTTATTTAGTTCTCTGACTACGCTACCACTACACTCTTTTTGGTCTCTTTATTTTAATTTCGGACCCACAGCACCCTCGCTATCATAAGATTTGTTTTTGCCCTTATTCTTAACGACAATTCAAAATTCGAAAACCACTTTTCTTTTCGAAATGTGAGCGCACTTATTGACTTTCTCATCAAACATGACAAGAATTACTAAAAAGCCATGAAAACATCAGGATGCTTTTCCTTAAGACTATGGCAACCAATACTTTGACCACACACATGAAACCATAGCTATTTCAGTTTATTGCGAAAAAAAAAAAAAAGAAAGAAAGAAAGTATCATGGTGGCGTGTAAAATTCGAAGAGAAGAGAGAAATCAATGGGGTGGAATTTTTTCCGGCAGTAAGGATGCTCTCCTATCCATTGAATCAAGAAAAATAGGGCAGGATACATGGTAAGGATGACTCAAAAACCAAGCAACAGAAAACCGTGAGAAATAGTAAACTTCTAACACCTGAACTTCAAGGCAAATAAACACTCCATTTTAACGAGTTCTCGTTCGCGCGCATTGTTAAAATTTACTTGATTGCTTTTTAAAGAAAGCATACCAATAAGTGAGTTTGAACGTCTAAGTGAGTGTTTTCTTTAGTCAGCCAATCAAATCTAAGCGACGAATTGTTCCATTATCATGTTTAACACATTTACAATTTGCAAAGAAACAAAAATTCTCGGACTTCTTCGTTTGAGGTACTCCAACCTTTACAAGGGACATATTTTGAAGGTACTTTTAGAATTTTTGGGTCGGGGTTAAGTGTACAATATTTTTAGAAGGGAAGGATTAAAAATAATTTGACTTCATTTTCTCCTTTAAATCTACACTGATCCATCAAAATCTCCTGTGGCACTCTAATCAAACTGTTAGTATGTACTTCTTCCTACAATGACGAAAAAATAGCTGCCCCTCTGCTGGCGCACAGATATGGAAAGCTACAACGAATGAAATAAGTTTCTAGTACCTTCTTCTCCCAATTAGTATTTTTCTCTTAGTAGATGTTGCATCAGTAATGGAGGTATTTGACTGATATCTTAAGCTGTGTAATTATTATGCCAAATAATTTTCATGTGTTTACTACAAATACGGCGATGTGTGCTCTTAAATTAGGGGCTTTAAGGAGTCAGGACGGCATCACCACAGAAGACGTCGATTAAAGAATGAGTTTCTACTTTTAGTTGGAATTTCGAAAATGGCTGCATGTGTTTACCGTCTCATAGGTCGCCAGACCTCAAACTCAACTTAACGCATAAAAGTAGCGTTGAGTTCCAAATGTAAATTAAAATAATTTTCCGCCGCGGTTTCGCTTCGCAGACTACGCAAATTTTGGTGATTTGACGTTGTTGTTTTGCAAAGGACGGCTAAGAAATGTACAAAGTTTTAAAACGCACGTGCTGGGCTATTGTTCTGCCAATTAGATCTATTGTTTTTGCACGTTCTCGTTGCCGTCGCTGTCGTGGTTTTGCTCAAATTCCCTATTGACGCTAAGGGAACGGACCCGGTAAACCAGCGACAAGGCCGCCAAAGCCTTGAGTCTACCCGCAGCTTTGCCACACGTATTCGCGGTTTCGCCGCAAAATCGCCAGCTAAGTTGGCTATTTTGGATACATAAATAGAGAGGGTAAGTTTCTAAAGAAACTGTGGTGCTGCGTCGGTGGGGGGTAAAAAGGTAATTTGGTAAAGTATCAACTAAATTGAAATTGTAAATTGGCCACCTTAAAGAGTTACAAACAACCTTATTTCTTATCGTCTTCATTCACAAAAAGCCAAGTGTTCGTGGTTCAGAAATTTTAGACGTTCTTAGGGACTGGTCATTATTTATCGGGAGGGGGGAGCTGGTGCAATGTAAAATATACCATGCTTGATTTTTGCTGACCCCCCCTTTTACTTTAACATGATTTTTGCTGACCCCCCCTCCCATCCCCCCTTGTCCTCGGACATGCATGAAACAAAAAGTATCTATTTATCAAGTCACCATGTCCAACTGATAGACATTCTATTTAAAGCTACCTTAAATTTGGATTTGAGTTGCTCTTCGCCCAAACTGTGTGTAGACAATTGTCGTATTGACATTAAAGTTCTCGGTGCTTTCAATCATTTCTTCTTTTTCAGTCTACTCCTCTTCCTCTTCAGAGCTTGAAATACCAATCTCTGCAAGGACACAGTGTTCTTCCTCTGAGTCGTCTTCTAATTCACAACTGAGTGAATCAGAAGACGACTGGTTGTCGCTCTTCCCATCCTCCTCTCTCTCTCAATGCGTTTAGCAAGTTCTTGGATGATACCTTATTTAATTGCTTCCAGCTTTGCCTCTTTTGTTCCATATTTTCTAAGGTTATGGTGGTTATGTATAAAGCTAGTTTAATAGGCTGTATTTGTTGATGGCATCCAGATGCAGCTTTTAACATTTTTCCTGGCAAAACGTTTGCATATTTTTAAATGGCCCCCCCTTTAAGCCATGCATAAAAAGTGGTGCCCCCTCTATTTGCACCACCCCCCCCCCCTCCCGATAAATAATGACCAGTCCCTTACAATATCAATCTGTAATTAATCCACGGTTCATAAAGACAAGTGTTTGATGCATTGCGAGCCTATGAATAACAAACAGGCGAACTTCCTTGCTTCATCCCAGGAAGGCTGAGCCTTCGCGCCTCTGTCTACGTTGCTTGTACGCGCTCTTCTGATCACATTTCATGTCTTCTTTCAAAAGGCGAAGATTCAAGGCAAGTTTTGAAACAACTATTAAGAAAAAACCGGAAAAATGGAAATCTGCGCAGAAATCACGGCACCTGAGTTAACATCGTGGTCGAAACAAAAGGGCAGGCGTTTAACAAGTAACTTATGAAATATTCATCGCTGCTACAGACCAATAACGACCGGCGAATCAATTCATAGCCGCTTCTGTTTAGAGCTATATCAAATAAGCGATTTAATGAGCTATGATCTATGACAAATTATTCGAATAATGGTCGAGGGCAAGCTACAGTGTTTTATGTACCGTATTAGCTTTAAAAGCCCTCGCTATGTCAATGTTTCACCGAAAGAGCCACTCTCTGGAAGAGTTCGATGGAGTTGTTAGTCCTCCCTTCCTAGACGAAAGCAGTCATCATTACTCAGGATCAACTTCGTTCAGAAGAAAAATGAAATCTGTCCGTGGGATGCGATTCCGGCCGGTTTTCCCAGCAATCATTGGAGTAAGCTTAGGATTTGCGTTATCAATGTTCTATATTCCTGTTGTGGAACAGCAGTGCTTGCACGATTTAGAGGAATCACAAGTTTTGATTTTGGGTCGAAAACAACCTGGTATGTCTGACACGAGAGAAAAGCAAAGTGAAAAATCAAAGCCAATTGTTCACAACACAGTACCGCCGAAAGTCACACACTTTAGTTATGGATTACGACCATTTTACGTTGCTAGCGAACTCGGCCATAGAGATAAATTACTTGTTGGTATTTTAACTACTGAAGAAAATATTGACTCGCTAGTACTTGCTGTGAATAACACATGGGGGCCTTTACTACCAAAAATTATGTTTTTCACTCCTTTTTCAAGAGATGTCGACTTCTCGGAAAAATACAACAAAGTCTTAGGCTTACCGATAGTACAACTCGCCGACGTGGAAGATGAGAATTTTTCCAAGACAAAACTGTCCTTCAAAATGTTGAAATACATGTACGATCATTATGCTAACAATTATGAATGGTTTATGCGCGTCGAAGACTCAATGTATCTAAAATCAGAGAAGCTTCTTGAGTTGCTTAATAGCGTGAACAGTTCGAAGGATGTTTATCTTGGCCGACCAGGATCATACAGGGCTAATGCGGCAAACACTGGAGACGATAATTTATATGCTAGTGAGAAGTATTGTTATGGTGGTACAGGAATTGCACTTTCGAGAAGTGCTTTAATGAAACTCGCTCCGCATTTGGAAAACTGCCTCGAGAACGCTTTGACGGAGCAAGAGGACGTAGAACTCGGCCGATGTCTGTTGAAGAAAGTCCAGTTGCAGTGTACATGGAGTTATGAGGTGAAAAGACATTTTAGTTTTTGTTTAATATGTGTCGCTGCTATTAAATTTGTGTTTACGGTTGTGTCGTGATTGCCTGAAAGCGTAACAATTTAATTAAATTTGATGGTGATAATTGATTCTCGGGATTGAATTAACGTCAATTATTATTTTTTATGATGATCGGTTAAGGATCATTAAGCTTTCTCTTATAAAACAAAGGGTTTAATGATGAAGGACAAACTTAAACTCAATGGGTGCATATTTAAAACTAGAGGTTCCATGCTCTAGTTTACCAAAGTCACTATTTGGCAACCTAGATCAGAAATTGGTCATCCTGACAAAAACAGAACGGAAATAGACACTTTTGCAATATTTCATGACCCATGTTGCCATCAAAACCGCAAAGACCAATAAGACAGAATGAAACCGTAGCCCAAAGGTTATGTTTTGGACAAAATGGTTTTTGCTGACCTAAAGTACACTCATTCCAGAGACAATTTTAGCCATCTTGTTTTGGGCAGGCAAGGCAAAGTTTTTATGTGAGAAAAAGTTGTAGCACCTAAGAGGGTTACCCTACCTGCCTTGACAAGACAAGTCACCTTCACATGTCATCTCGCCCTGAGACAAATTTACCATTTTCGTGTTAATAGTTGGTTGAATTTCTCAAAAAAATGAGTGAAAAGTTTGCTCCACCAGGGTAACTTGAAGGAAGGTTTCAATTTATATACTCTATTGATCAAGCGCCAGGTTAAGATGGCTAGATATTGGCCAAATTTTATTTTTGCATTTTTATAAATTGAGACAAATTCAAGGTCTATAAAAATGTAAAAAAAAAAAACAGCAAAGCTAATATCCAACCAACTTGGTGGAACAAGCTTGGTCAATAAAGGATTTATTATTAAGCATAAAGATGATCACTTTATCAAGAATTAAGACTTGTTTATTTGGAGAGATAGGAAAGAAAGCCAACTGTTTTTGTAGCACAATAAACCCACATTAGAGTCATTTATATTTTCTTTGTTTTGATTGTCTTCTACTGCTTTTTCAATTCTGTGGTCAACATTGTCCAAGAACTACAAACTTTGTATCTCTGCTCTAAGAAAATTTTTTTCTTGCACAGAATTAAAGTAGCACAGGCATTGCCTGTGATATAATGATATGAAAATATTATTTAAAGAGATCTCTGGTTCTACCAGCTTCTTTTGTTGATGTTGATTTGATTTTTTCTGTGTTTTGATTATCGGAATAATTCTGTGGTTATTTGATATTTTATCAATTGTTGTTATTGTTCCCTTTAAAATTGTAAGAATTAAGATCTTGGTCAACCTTCAAAATCATCCCGACGAAGGGCTAACGCTCGAAACGACAGCTTTTGTAATCGATACGGTGGCCAATTTACCACTTCAACTTTGTTGATATATCCAAATTACTTCAAAATCATCACAGAGAGGTAAGTTTTTATTCGGATATTTCATGTCATTCCAAACATAAGATATACAAGTCAACACTTGATTGATATGCAGAGTTTTCTAATTGACAGAAGGTGGTAAATTTTTGGATCATATTGTTTTGAAGGATATTTATTCTGTAGTCCTGAATGTATTTTTGCAGATGAAGGACAATCTGCAGAATTTGCAGATTGTAACAAAAACACATAAAAGTTTCTCACTGTGTTAGTTTGAATATTTGTTTAATGCTTTATTTCAGGCAGAAGATCTCTTTTATCACTTCCCCAAAGACACTAGTGAAACCCAGATCATAAATCTCATTAAAGAAAGGAGAATATCTCGTGCCATTGTTCTGCATCCAGTCACCAATCCGCTCCTCGTGTATAAAATCCATCGCTACTTCACTGAGCTAGAGCTGAACAAAACATTTGTTGAGACGAGAACACTTCAGAATGCAATAAAAGATATGCTGCCATATTTGCCAGATGGTAAGTTATCATTTGATAAACATTTGTTATCTTGGAAAACTGAATGATTAAAATACTGTAAGGTATATCTTGCCACAAGTTATTTGTAAGGCTTTGATAGAAAATGGGAGCTAAGTTTTGCCAGAATGACTTGTCTGGATACAAATATCATTGTTTCCTATTTTTTTTTCCAGTGAATTTATATTTTATTTTTGAGAAATAACAATTGCAGAAAAGCACTGTTTGTAGTCCAACAATACTTTTCCATGGGAAATTCATTTTCTAAATTAAAGGCTGTGTTATTAGGAACTCATTAAATGAAGATATCAAAAGCTCATCCTCATCTTTTTTCAAGCTTAAATTAAATTGCCATCTTACTAAAAGTTGTAGCAGTATGTCCACTGTCTTTCATTTTTCATCCAAACTTCTTCTGCCCAACTTCATTGAGTGCATTTGCTTCAATTGCAAGCTGTGATCAAATTTTGCAAAATATACAATTAGCTGGCAACCTGGCATTTTTAACTAGTTATAGTTCTTTAAGGCTGTCAGTTACTCTTCATTTGCACTAATTTAGAATACTGAGGGAATTGTGACTTTAGATTACGTAAAGGATATATGAACTACTTTGTTCTTGCATGGTTTTCCAAAGAAGCTGGCTGTGCGCTTATAAGCAAAATAGCTATAGTTTTGTCAGCCAATGATCTTATTTTTTCCCTTAATTTGCCAAGAAATGTCTCTTAGTAATAGTATGCAAGCAATATAAGGTTATTGTGTTATATAATTTATTTGGGTTCATTATAGATTACTAGTATTGTACAGCCTCTGTGTATGCTCTCATTCTAATTATAACATAACCAAAGCAAAGCGCGTGCTCTGATTGGTCAATTTAGCATCCCCCATTTTCCCATGGGTGTACGCTGCTGACGCAAGCAAATGCAAAGACTATTTTTCCGCGTGTGCTTGTTTTTTCTGGTCACGTAAAATTTGTTAAATAAAAGGGAACTCTTTAGCTACAATGTATCAATGTTATGTTATAAAACAAATGGTAAACACCACAGCGTACACTATTGAGTTATGGATGCACTTGGGAGGTTTGCTAAGCACTCAAGAAGCTAGAGTCGCTCTCGGCTATCGCCTCAAGCGACTCTTACGCTTCTTTCGTGCTTAGCAACCTCCCGTGTGCATCCATAACTCAATAGTGTACGCTGTGGTGTTTACCATTTGTTAATTGTGACTCTGAAACACAATAATTGAGACAAGAGAAGAGTCATTAACAATATTACTTTCTAGCTGTCAAATGTCTGAGGGACCAGTATCTGAAAAGTTTTTATTCCTGTGAAAATACAGGTATATGGAAATTGTATCAGTTTCCTGGAGGGAAGTAAAAATATGTTAGAAGTGTGTGACTTTTGCCTTTCAGTATCTTCTTGTTGAATTTTTTTTTTTCTGCTTGATTGTGTCAAAATTTTAACTCTAGCCAAAGGGTAGAATTTTCTAAATCATATTGTGTTTGCAAATCAAGTATTTTCATCACAAATGAGTCTTTGGATATCAAACAATATTATATCTGTACTTTAATCTTGATATGGAACTTATCTTTTGATATGTAGTGCATGTGTGTTGTAAAAATAAAGTCATGATATTGGATGGTTGCCACAGGTCAGGAAAAACAAATTTCATCAAGGTTATGGAAAAGTCAGGCAAAAGAGAAATTTCAAGTGAAATCAAAACTACATATTGTGCTCTGTTGAGTCAAGAGAGAAACAAAGTGAATATGTTTTCAAGGCAACATCTACGTGAAATTTGAGCAACAACTCCATAAAAGCAAACTTATAACACGGGCTTTTTTGGTTTGACAAGAATTTTGTGAGAGTAAGGAATATAGGAAGGCTAGATCCAATCTATTGTGTCACGTGATGTATCACGTGGTGTGTCACGTGATGTGTCATGTGATGTGTCACGGAATGTGTCACGAGATGCTCCAAATAAGGAGACGAGGTGAACCACGGTAATCTTAATTCCTGCCAAAATAAAACTAGCTTAAATTGGACGACTTTTTTTCGTCTGTTCAGGTGTTCCAGAAAAGAGACCATTATGGCCGATTGGATTCCTTCAGCCGTTTAAACCTCAGTCTCGTTTCGAGGTGTTACAATGGGAGTATTTTACAGATGCATCAAGTTACGGATTCTCGGAGGTCAACCCAAAGGTAACTTTGTGAACTGTAAGATCTTGGTTTTCTTTGCGTTTCCTTTGGAAAAGAAAACTGACGCTGCGTTTTCAGCCAATCAGATGGAAAAAGTGGTTTGATCTCGCGCACTTTCGCGCCTCGTAACGCAGGTGTATTTCACGTGATTTCCTATTGGTTTATTGTGTGTTGAAGAGATTCCTTCTGATTAGTGGTTGCTATGGTTTCACACGTGATTTAAAACTGCTTTAAGCTATCCCCTCTTCTATCTAAAGGTACCTTTGCGAGGAGATTACAAGAAAGACGTTGAAGACGTCAAAGAAACGGCCATTAAAATGTTGACACGAGAGTACAGTAACGTAAACAGGCAGTTCCTTCTGATCAATGGCTACCGACGAGTAGATCCAAGAAGAGGAGCTGAGTACATCCTGGATATTGGAATTAAGCCGGGTGCTGCGGAGAACAGGGGAACTGGGAAAGAGGCAGATATGACTATCCGGTATGGTAAAATGCCCTACACTATAAGCCCACTAACTGGGTTTGGGACGGGGGCAATCCTATTATATCCGAGGGCTTCTAGATGGGGGAATTGGTGGTGAGGGGGGGGGGAATTTTAGAGGAAGGGATTTTTAAAAAGTTCAAGTACTGTTAGATACCGAATTTTCTCTCACTGGTGTATTTTTTAGGTCTAGTGACCTCGTTAAATTCAATGCCTTTCAACAATTTTTTTCAGACGAGTTCATCTTCTAAGGCCGTACACCAAAGTGGAAAATTTTCAGATGCCGACTGCGATTGAGCAACGTGGAATCCATCTCGTTCTTCCCGTCCTTCGGAACGACACTACAAGATTGGAACAATTTTTTCAGATGTATCAGAAAGTTTGCCTACAGACTGGAGAAAATGTGGTACTGCTCACTGTGTTTGTTAATGTTAGGGACGAAGGCCAAGAGAAAAATGAAGGGGACATATTTGCAGATGGAAAGGCGCTTATTACACGGTAAGTCGTTATGCGTCGTGTAATCTATCAAGTCAGTCGCTGATAATAATATTAATAATAATAATAATAATGTTTTTTTTTATATTGCGCAGTGTAACATGCAATAAAAGATATAATCGAATGCGCATTACAACATTAAAAATCTTACAGCAATGAGGTTAATCCTAATAATGATGGTAATAATACAGGTAGTCGGTTCCATACTTTGGGTGCAGCATGTTCGAACGCCCTATCCCCGAGTGTCTTTTTTTGTTCTGTAGGTGTTATCGATTAGGAGTATGCCCCGGTGGGATCTCTACTGATACCGCGAACTCACTTTGATTTTTATCAAGTCTGAGAGATATTGTGTTGCGACGCCGTAGATACGTTTGTGAACTAACACTGCTATCTTGAATTCTATTCTGTGGTTGACCGGAAGCCAGTGCAGGTTGATCAGGGTTGGTGTGATATGATCATACCTGGATACAATGCATACCAGTCGAGCTGCCGCGTTTTGTAGGCGTTGCAGCTTGCCAAGATGAACAGCGGGTGTACCATATAGCAGACCGTTGCAGTAGTCTAATCGTGACATTATAATAGCCTGTACAATGGACTTCCTATTGTCATATGATAGATACTTTCCAATACGCCGGATGTTGTATTGATGGTAATAAATAGCCTGACATATGCTGTTAATATGTGTTATCATATTCATGTTTGCATCAAGCCAGACACCAAGATTTCTAACAGAACAGACAGCAGAAACCCTTACCTCACCTACTTACAAGTCATTTATCGTAACCTTATTTAATTGATTCACAAAGAGCGCTTCTGTGCCACTCATCACCGCGGAGGAGTACGTTGAATTTTCGTAGATTAATGATCCTTAGCTTCTGTTACCCAAAGCGATTAAGCAAGTGGGAGTATAAGGAGTGCCCCTTCCCCACCTGGATAGGATGGCAGGTTATTCCTCTACTCAGCGTGGTTTGCCGATACCCATGTAAAGTGTAAGAGTAAAGTGTCTTGTCCGAAAACACAACACAGCGACCCGACCTTGGGTCGATCCCAGACCCTGCAATAACAAGTCTTGCGCGTTAACTATGCGTCCTCCGGCGTCCGTGTGACTCTTTCAGCAAGATTATTTCTCAATTCTTCCTTAAATGCAGGTACAAACAGAAGTATACCTGGGCGCAGTTTCCATGGTTACAGATTGGAGTCAAGTACAATTCCCTTACATTGCTAATGGACATTGTTACCATGAAGCTGCCAGCCAACGCGCTAATCTTCCTCACTGCTCTTGGAGTTGAGTTCAACATAAATTTTCTAAACAGATGCAGAGTGAACGCACTTAGTGGTCAACAGGTGAGCCAAATTTCCATTACCGATAATTTAATAATAAGGACGACAATGTCTCCCAAAATACCAAGGAACAATCCCGACGTTGCTGTGATGATTTCTGAAAATCTAACGACTAAGTACAAAAAGGTTTCCGAACATACTAAGTTTTCCCGACGATCGGCGAAAATTCAACGTCTAAGCACGAAATGTAGTAGAGAATATCAGAAAACAAGCTCGATGTTGTTCCGATGCCAAGTGCAACGACTAAGAACGAACGTGTCCCCGAGAACACCAACGAGTGAGCCCGAAGTTTTTCCGATAATCGAGCATTGCCGAGATCTTTTACGTAGTACAGACGTAGTTGTTCTTGGATCTAATAAAACAACTAAGTTCCAACATCTTTTCCTTTTTTGTTTCTTTGGTAAGAACTCTGTTGAATGTTACCCGAAGTTTTCTCTTTTTATCATTTTTGTTCTGATATAGGTATTTTTCCCCATTCCCTTTGCGTATTATGATCCAGGCGTTGTATACCACCAAGCAAAGATTCCGGATGTGATACCCGTTCATAGGGACACGGGGCGCTGGGCACCAGGACCGAGAGACATGGCTTGTTTCGATAACAAAGACTATAAAGACATTAGAATTAATAGCGACGACTTCCTTAAAGAAGAAAAATCACAAACATTAGAATTGATGGAGGTAAAATTTAACACTTATCCATTTTGAAGCATTTCTGTTGCAGTTGTTATGGTTATTTGGTCAAGCGAGTTGTGTTTTTGAACAAGGTCTCTTTAGTCTAATTTAACTGTCGGTTATCTTCACCAGGTATTCGCTGCCAGTTCTTTGCACGTGTTCCAAGCAGTCGACATTGATTTGAGGAAACGATATGAACAGGTAACATGTGATCCACATCTCAAAGAAGACGATTACAACAAGTGTTTGAAATGCAAGGCAGAAGGCATGGCTTCTCGCTCACAACTCGCTCTCCTAATGTTTGAGATGGAACAAAAGGGCCAAGGCAATGGAGCCACAGAATTTCACCAATTGCGTTAAGCATATCTGTTTTTCTCTCATGGTAATTCTTTACAAAGTAGCCTTATACGCCATCAGGCACGAGGGGGAGCAAAAGTCAGGGTCATCCTCGGTGTAAGAACCTCACGAGGTTTTCTTTGTTTCATGAGTTATTGTTTTGCTGTACGCTATTGTTTAGAAGTTTTGTTGTCTTTGTTTTACGTCACTCGTGAGTTTCACAGGTTTTTACACCGAGGAGGAGCCAAAAGTCACTGTTTCGGAAGGGCAAGTAATTAGGTGTTTTGTTATACTTCACAACCTAAAAATAGTAGTGTTTGTAAAATTATATATTTATTTATATTCTTGACGCGGACCGGCACACAAATTTGCCACGGTTTTCAAGGTGTACGACCTGAACAAGTGCGAGTCGGAAGTTCTAGTTGTTATTCCCTTGGGAGTTAGCGAGTTTTGACCCATCGCACGTGACACGCTCTCCTCCAATTGGAAATCGTATTTGACTTGGGAGGTATAACAACGTCGTGTCTTCATTTTCTTCTCACAAACATTACGCGACGGTCACTTCTCACTCCTGAAGATTACTTGACGAAACAAATGTACTCTCACTAAAATTTATAATAAGTTTTTGCTCGAATTTGAATGGAGGGCATACATGCAGGTCATGAAAAAAAGTGACGTTCCAATATTTAGACAAAATGAAAAAAAAAAAAAAATTGATCAGAATCCAGTGAATTGGATAGCAATAACATTCTTGATGATGCTTGGACTCATTAGGGACTTCACGCAAACCACGACGGCGACGGCAACGGGAACGGGAACATGAAAAAACAAAAGATCTAATTGGAAGAACAATAGCCCAGCACGTGCGTTTTAAAACTTTGTTCATTTCTTAGCCGCCCTTTGCAAAACAACAACGTGAAATCACCAAAATTTGCGTCGTCTGCGAACCGAAACCGCGACGGCAAATTATTTTAATTTCCATTTGGCCCTCAACGCTACTTTTATGCGTTATGTTGAGTTTGAGGTCTGGCGCCCTATGAGACGGTAAACACATGCAGTCATTTTCGAAATTCTAACTAAAAGTAAAAATTAATTTTTTAATCGACGTCTTCCGTGGCGTTGCCGTCCTGACTGCGTAAAGTCCCAATTGTTTTGTGGTGGGGTCGAAAATATTTTCCCCTTTCGGAAAATTGTTATTTTAAGGAAATATAGGTTAAATTATTTGACGACCTCGCTTACAAATTTGAGTTTACATCACAGGTATCATGGATAAGGGGGGTGACTGTCGCGCGGCGTCGGTACCGTTGGGAGAATGTAACAAGATAATTTGTTTTATCAACTGAGTCGATAAAAATCAAATTATCTTCTAAAAGTGTGGGCCTCTTTTGAACACTAGAGGCTATCTTAATCGCCATGTCTTTGATGTATTCGTATTTTATAAAACACGTTTATTGGAGAAATTGCCGAAATGCGTGTACTGTTGTGTGGAAAATCTGTAAGTATATACATTCAAAGTAGTATAAACTAGTTGTTATTTTCTTCATCAAGTTAGCGAAGACAGCAACGCAATACGCTAAAATAGGTAATAATTACTCGCTGTTCATGTTAGGAAACAAACTAGTTTATAACAAGAGAAATTAACATGCATTTGAAAAAAGAAGATTTTGGTAGTTCATCGTTTTCGACTGGTGACAAAAATAGCTCATTTGTGTTCACAAATAAGGGTGATAACTTTTTCGTACTTGGGTATAACAACTTGCCTCAAGACCTCTTCCAATTTGAGCCTCTAAAATTAATCCCACACCCTCTCTTGAGCCCCATTTAGCGGACCATTGACAAGGAACAAGGAAGGGGAAATTGAAGGCAAAATTGCGCGATAAGGGGAAAAAAAGTTTGGCCCTCACGAGTAAAAATTTCCGAGCTAGACGAAATCAGTTGAAGGTTCAAGAGCATTGAATAGCACAAAAGCTGTTCAAAATAACTCGACACAATTTTAGAAAAAGAGCCAAAACATTTTTATTATTTCGGCGAGCCTACAAGAGTAAAAATTTCATACAAAAAACGTTTACATTAAAACTCCATTGTGGTTCTCATTGGTTTAAATACGTGTTTTAACGGTCGGCAGACTGGTCAATCAAGTTATTTACAAGTTTTACAGCTTTGTGTTGATTGACTGATTACGTGACTGACAGGGTATTCTATCGTCTAAATAGCATTGATCTCGTACAAAATTCCAATAGTGACGTGGATAAACAAAAACATGTCCCACCCCTACCCCCAGGAAAATAGCATTAACGTGCATCGTTGATTTCGTCGAAGTTTTCTCGCGATGTCTGTGAAAAGAAATACATGTACTTCTCTCTTCACATGGAAGTAGCTAGTCTTTGTTTCGTCTGAAGCAAACCTGTTGACGAACGAAAAACTTTTATTGAGTCCTACAGAAATTTTCACGTGCCCGTGTAGACGTTCTGCACTGTCTACGCGCTTTGAGATGAATGCAGTTCACCTTTGTTAGAGACGATCAGACGATCAGACGATAAACATACCTAATGTCTTCATAACCTAGATCGTATGACGCGTTATTAAGTTCTCATTCTTATTAATTTTTTAATTCTCTACTAAAATCCTGCATTGATTCTCATTAATTCAATCACTCTCACTCTTTCATTTAATCATGCATTCATTCTGAATCACTTGTTCTCATTCTCATTAATTCTCTTTCTTCCATTCTCATTCACTCTCATTCAATCTCCTCCATTTATTCATTCAATCTCACTCTAACCATCACCTACACTACCGTTATCATAGTCTCTGTCATTCTTACATTGAGTTTAGCTTCCTTCTCCCTCAGTCCATATTTGGAGCCAACTGCTCCCAACGGCGTTCGAAAAATTCGAAAAGTCGTTTTCCAGCCTGTCCAACCTGCGTAGATATCACAGTTTCACCATTTTAACACGAAAATATAATTTCTATCGCAAGAAGAGAAAACCTGGGATCGAGGTTAATCAACGGGAGATAGCTTCCCCTGATGGCGCTGTTAAGAAGATCACGTGACTTACCTCCGAATCATCCTCGTTAAATTCTTCACAGTTCAAGAAAACTGTCCGTGCGTCGTCCACAAATTCATTAGGTCCTTGGTACCTGTTGGCAAGGGAAGTATGTTTTTTAAAACCGCAAATAACACCACAATGTGTTAGACATATGCACCGACAACCTGGAGATCGGAGAATTCTCTGACTACATTTTCATGGCCTAAGTTTGTTTTTTTTCACTCAGACGCTGAAAGTATTATGTGCAAATTCTGAAATGACCCACTTTGATTTCTACCAATCTTAACTATCCTCGTTCCTTTCCAGTGTGTTTTTAGCTATCCAAGCAAAAAATACGTTTCTAGCTCTCCGAGCAAAAAAAAAATTAAATTCCGAAGATTTTAACAAAACCCGTCTCTATCAGGAGCGGGAATGGATTCGCATTGATTTCTGGGATTGGATTGCGCAATGTGACGGGGGGCCCGTTTTAAATGATGACGAAATGGAACTAAAAGAGAAGAGTGGGGCACAGGTAATTGCTTTACTTTAGCAAATACTTACTGGCAATCACGAAGCTTTATTTTCATAGTATGAAAATCCATTGGTCGCTTGATTATTTTATAATATTCTGGAAACTAAAGTAAAAAGAGGGTGAGTAAATTACTGGGGAAGCTCTGGGCACTGCTAACAGGCTCGCTTTGGTCACCCATAATCCACGCATGCGCACTTTACCAAACGTACTCCTCCCTCTCCCTTTCCATACGGGTCAATTGGCAGGAACGCCAACAACTCTTACCTCACTCAAGTGAACAGAAACAAAGGAGATATCTTACTTGTTTAGGGTTGACTGGAACTAAGAAAGGCCAAGCGTCCTCATGTTTTTCCATTTCCGCCAGGATCATGCGGCAAGGTGCCATGTCTTTGGAAGCTTGCTTCCGGTTGGCGTGAGGGCGAACTTCCTCCTTAGGGGGAGGGGTGAGAGGTCGCCTGTCGTCTTCCTCCTCGTCATCGTCTCTAATCTTTCGCCTCCTTCGCGGTTTGCTACGTTTCTAACAAAACAAAAAAACAAAAACAAAAAAAAACAGGAAATCAATACATGCTTGTGTCTTCAAAAGTCAAGACTAAACTTATTGAAGATCATGTCTTCAGCCAAATAGAAAATGTCAGAGGCTGATCAAGTTTTCTTCTCCAATGTTAGTTACCGAGTTATTTCCTTGGTTCTGGACATAAACTTTCTATGCAGTGACCAGATGAGCTATACACCTACTTTTTTGCAGTTTGGACACGTCCACGACGCCCTCGGAACCCTATAATAATAAGAGAACCCCATGAGCATAAAATCACAAAGAATCTTCTTGAAAAAAGAAAGAAACAATAAACCCCTGTTCCAGCACCTCACCTGGAAGATATGGCACTCTATCAAAGAACCCCCTCTCATCCGATGGCTCTCCCATACTGTTCCCACAGTCTGCTGGCTAGTGTGTGTCTCCTGGGTATGTGTGTGAGCGCGTTTAAGCGGAAGGGGGAAAAGAAGGGGAGGAGGGGACAAGGAAGCACTATCTCATGACCTTTAGCGATCAACTCATCTCAAGCTTTATCTAGACGCGGCAACGCAAAACTTGCTTACAATTTGCCTATACAAATTTAAGAGCGACACTACTTAACTCTGTTCTCATATATCACCTCAATCAGCCAATGAACCCGTAAGAAATAAAAAATTATTCCAGTTGAACGAAACAGGTTGCCGACACCGCGGTGACGTAAATTCCAGCAGTCAACGAATAAGACGAAATTTCATTGTTTTATACCGACCATTTCGATGAATGGATTTTAAAATGTCGGAAGCTAGTTTCATTTCTACTCCCTGATTGGTTTGTTAACGCCTGAGTGAATAGATTATAACAAAATTCTCACTTGCTCAACGGCGGCTCAAGGCACTGCAAATGAAAGTTTCTTGGACAGTTGTCACACTTGGCCATTTTTCCTGTTGCCCCACCGCAGATACAGCAGTTGTCACTTCCGGCAGCCTGAAATTAAACACGACAGTTAGATCGTCTTGATCAACATTTGGCGATAAAGTGAAGTGGAAAGTGTGAACCAATCATTTGCCCTAACGCATTTGAGGCCAACGAACGCGCATCATTTCTTCGTAGAAAGCCTTGCTTGGATATTCAAGGAGCGAAAGGCTGGTGAAAGAAAACTACAAGGAGAGGGTAGGAGAGAAGTATAAGAAAACAGAAATCTGGCCTTTGTTAGTCCCGTACCGTCTCTGTCCGCTTAACTCCAAATCAAACATGACGTCTCGAAGAACGATCGCGCACTTACAAAACTAATTCGCTCACCCCCATAACGCAACTGCATTGTTGGCTACGCACGCTTATGAACACAGCGAAATAGGGGAGCTTCTGTTCGCATTCTTTTGAAAGTTTGATGGTCTCTGTTTGGTCGCCCTTTTCCTGATACGATGCGCATGAAAAGGAGACATAAAAAGCGAAAATCATGAGGGCAGCAGGTGTATTACGAAGACACAAAAAACCTCACGCCAAACCTGTCTCGCATCGCGCGCGAATAGAGATTATGGAAGGACGAGCATACTTACCAGAACTATACAGTCAGTGCAGTACCAGTCTCCCTCGGGTATCGACGAGAGCTTAGGCTGGGAAAAAAATTAAAGGGCAATTAATCTTTACAGTTTGCATTACATTTCAATAAATGGACGTGTGTCGAGCTTAGTAGGCTTCACATCACTTTTAAAGTAAAAATTTGACCTAGAACTAAGTCTCA